TTGAGAATAAAAATAATAATAATAATATTGATAATGCAAAGTTAGGCATAATTAAAATTATGTTGTCATGTGATTAGGATGACTAGGAATAGCCCAACGTACCTCCAGCGTGCTGAAATGGCCATTGAGAACTACATAAATTATGAAGTGAGATGGGAGAGAACTTTTGTTGAACATGTTGAAGATTTCCTTTCTAAGTGGGAGCGAGCAAGGTCATTTGGATATAATGAGGGGACAATCCTTTCGATATATCACCTTATAAGCACTATGCGACCTCAATGGAGAGACGTGGCTTATTTCGTGAGGGACATGGATTATGATTTATATTTGGAAGAAGATTGGGATAAGATTGATTTTAAAGGATACTGTGAAGATATCACGATTTTATGGAACCATAGACAACAAGCACCAGCGCCCGAACCCGAACCGGAGCCAGAGCCGGAAGAAGACCCAGAGGAGGAGATCGAACCAGAGCCAGAAGACCCTGAACAGGAAGTCCAACCACAAAATTTCATTGATTTGGTTATGGATTCCGAGCCCGAGTCATGCATTACTTCGGATGATGAGACGGCATAAAAAGAAGATTCTAGATTAGGGATAAGTTTTATTTATTTGCTTAGGAAAAGTTGGATTATTTATTTATTCATTTGATTTTTTGAAGAGCAAATTTTTTTTTTATTTAAGGATTTGGAAATTATATTAAATTCTTCGTTGTTACAAAAATATTAGAAGTGTTTTACCAATTTTTTTTCCCTAAATTAAAATTTTATTTGTGTTAAGAAAATGTCGAAACAACAACAAAATCAAGGTACGATCACCAGAGATTTGCTAAGGGCGGTACAAGATTTGGGTAGGCAACAAGCACAGGGTGGTCCTCGTGGTACAAACGCTAACAACACCAGCTCAATCGTGGAACAGTTCCGTCGCTACAAACCCCCAACCTTCGATGGCAAGGCAGACCCACTAGCAGTTGAAGAATGGATAAGAGGAATGGAGCGAATCTTCAAACATCTATCTTGCACTGATGCTCAAAAGGTGTTATGTGCAGAATTTATGTTGGTTGACGCGGCAGGCCATTGGTGGGAGTCAGCATCTCGCACTAGAACAGAAGCACAACAACGTGCTCTGACTTGGACGCAATTTAAGGAGGAAATGATGGGAAAATACTTCCCACAAGCCCTGAGGGATCGCAAGGAGACAGAATTCCTTCAACTCAGACAAGGAAAGACGAAACTTGAAGAATATGAAGGAAAATTCGAACAACTCTCAAGATATGCACCACACCTAGTGGATACTGAAGCAAAGAAAGCAAGGAGGTTCGAACTTGGATTGCGTCCTGAGATTGGTGGAATAATGGCATCCCACCAATTCACCACTTATAGGCACGTTTTGCAAACTGCCCAAGCAATCTCAAATAGGTTGGAAATAGATCAAATTCCCTAGCAAGGGGCCAAGTTATCAGGAAAGAAAAAGTGGAATGGGTCCAATGAAGGGAAGGGAGAGGGACAGAGCAAAAAGGTTAATTTTGGATCAAGTTTTGGACAAGCCATTTCACCATGTCCAAAGTGCAATAAAATGCATAGTGGTGAATGTTTGTTTGGGAAGCATGTGTGCTATCGATGCGGTAAAACAGGGCATATTTCCAAAAATTGCAAAGAAGACCCCTTGAAGAAGAATGATGAACAAAAAAAGAAGGGAAAGGCCCGAGTTTTTGCTTTAGCCCAGGAACGGACAACAGAGGACCCGAACGCAGGTAATTTCGAGGACGAAATTATTTTAAGGGGGTGAAATTGTAACATTCCGAAAATTTTTTTAAGAAAATAAATAAATTATTATATTATTTTGAAAGTGAGGGATTAAGGTGAAATAAATATTAATATATTATATATTTGGGGTCAAATAATTGGATTTTGATAAAGTAATGATATGTATATCAATATTAGACTCATTTCGAAGGTCGTAATTAATTAGAAGTCTATGACTCGAGAAAAGTTATTTTGGATAAGAACGTATTAAGTTATACCCAATTGAAAGAAAACAAGATAAATACAATTTTATATAGTTTTAACCCATTTTGAATTTGATTGATTGACTACCACATTTTTATTGGATAGGAATGGTAGTTCTTTTAGATGAAATAAAATAATGATAAAGTACAATTTTTTTATGATACGTGCCACATTGGATTTGACTTTATCAAATCAAAGTTTTGGTTTATCTACTACTCTAGCCTACACCTATAAATACTAGGCAAGGATTTCATATTTTACCACACCAAAAAATATTCACACGTGAAAGAGAGAGAAGAAAGAAAGAGAGAGAGAGAGAGAGAAAGAGGAAAGAGTGTGTGAAAACAGATATTTGTCATACATCAACTATCACTGTCGGTCAATAAATCATTCACAGAGTAGAGGAAGGAATTTTGGAACGTCGTTATGTTTATGGTTAGATACGCTTTCAATAATTTTAATTTAAACGTTACAATTATTTGTTTATTGAAGAATTTTATATAGTTCCGCATTTTTTTAATTAAAGAAAAATGAGTTTTCGTAACGTTCCCGTGTTTATGCTTAATAAAAAAAATTGGGGCGTTACATATTCTGTATGGCAAAAAGTGACAGGCTTAACTTTAAAATATCTTTATCACAGAAGACCCTTCATTCTTCGACCTTTCTAACATCTGCAACATAAACAATGTGATTTTGTTGTTATAAATGTGACCTACATTTTCAATTGCTGCTTCGCAGATGTCTGATGTCATATCCTGCAATGCACATAACTCACCTACAACATATGGATTAACTGGCAGTGTGATAGATGGTTTATCTACTTTTGCCTCCGCAACATCAATGATTAATGGGTATTTAGTAGGTTCGCGCTCCATATCCTTTAGCATGATGTAAAAGAGCACATTGCTGTCATTTCTGATTCTAATTGAAGGCAAATCTTCATTCAGTATGTATTTCATTGAGACTGCTACCTATGTAGGATCCAAATCGAACTCCTTTATAACTATGTCCACAAGGTTTACATATCTGCAATTTCGACCTACCAACGCCAAAGAAGTTTGAAATGCATGCAACATGCACACGTGCAAGTACACCATTTCTGCAAATTAAATTTACATTTGTTAGTGGTCTATTGATGAAAGTGTAACGGTTGACACAATTTGTGTATGAACTCCTAAAATAATAGGCATGCACGTTTTTCACAAAGTCACAAGTGAATGCATGGTAGAAACATAAATCACAAGTTAGGCATCACAATTCACATACACGAAGCATGCGCATTAGTCACATATACAACGTGCATTTAATTATACGAGTGTTTTCATTCAGGTCACATTTTTGGAAGTACGTCATGTAAGAATGAATATGACTGCATATTACATGGGTCATAGATCATGTAACACAATTATCTCACTCAGATTATGCGCAGTAGTTCCATATACTGAGTGACTCAGGTCACATTCTTCAAAAAGTCAATCACGGAGAATATGATTTTCAATATTGTTGAGAAACATTCATCACACGTCTTATATGTGGCCTTCACATTACATACAATATGCACATTGATCACATAGTCAGATATCAGATTATATGTCGAAACATGTACCTGTACTCTATTTTCAGCGATGATCAGGACTTCTGCGACTAATGTTAGATTTCTTCTGCTGCAAATATGATTGTATTACTAAATTGATAATCGTAGTTTGAAATTCAATGATTATTCTTGTCTCCGACGATTGTATTCGATTTACCGAACACAATTCCGGAGTATGTAACTCGACGTTTCCATCGCGGGTGAGATTGTGAGATTTCTCATCGAAATTAGTGATAACTGTTACCTGCTTCGTTATCGTCGACAGCCGAAATAGGTTTTCACGGTGAGAACGCAGAATACCATCTGAATTTTTTAATTTGGGATGTCGATTTTGTACTAAAATAAGTCATGATATAGAAGGGAACTAGGCGTAATTTACGAGAGTCTTGATAAATTAATTTTTTCTATTATTTCCTTTAGAAAACTAACCAAAAAATTAACATTGGGCTTGGTGAGCTGCTTGCCCCCAGGCAAATCGTGTCAAGTTTTGCATAAGCTAGCTTAGTGAGCTCAGCCAAGAAGATATGCGTCTTATGTGAATTATGAAATATATATTACTTATTTTTATCTATTTATAATTTAAACCGTCTATAAATATATTCTTAACAAAAGCACTATGTGAAAGTCATATAAGTTGTTCATTGCACATGGAAAAAATATTGTTGTGCCCTATTGTTGTTGACTAACATTTTGTATTTTCAAAAAGATAAGTGTACTAATTTGGGTTATCAATCTATACCCCTGAAATAACTTTCTGATTTCGAGCTCATGACAAGTCAAGAGACATCATAACTCAACTTTTATCAACTAAGTTTTTATTTTTTTAAACAACATTATATGTATTAGAATTTAATAAATAAGTGTAACACTTTATAACGTAAAGTTAAAAGACTATTTGGGTGCTGTGCAAGGTCAATCGATCAAAGCACTTCTTTAGAGTGTAGGTGGTAAAGTTTTTTTAAATTTATAAGTTGATCGAGCATAAAATTTTTCATGGATTTCAAAGTTTTTAGGCACATAGTCCGTGTGGATACAAATATCATTATTAAGGAAGAGATGTACAAATGATATGATGGATAACTAAGCCCCTATTCAAGCTTGATCTTTAAAATATTAATTTTCTCTCAAACTCATTTGTTATCATACATTCTTTCAATGTAATAATTTTACATGTAAATTCAATTTTTTCCTACTTTTTAACCCTACATTCCTATAAACTCTCTATTATAAAATCCTTTTTCTCAAAAAAAATGTGATTCAAGCAAATTCTAATTAATTTTACACCATTTGAACGAACTTTTTGGATGCAAACTATTATAGTGACGAGACGTGCTAATTAATAAAATATTGAGATAAAGAATAGGTGACAAATGTTAGGGATATAAGTTTTATAATAAGCAAAAATTGAAAAAATTAAGTATAATTAAAAAGTAGTTCAGATAATAAAAAATGTTGTGCTAATAATTTTTTTCTAAATTGTAAAATATGGGTAATGTTTAACACATCTAAATAAGTGACAATACCAAACATACCCTTTGACTTTAGTTCAATTATAGCAAGAATAAAAGGTTAAGTCACTGGTATTAGGTGATGGTCAGACACATTTATTACTTTTTACTGCATTAAAAACGACTTATCACGTGACGTGATCGCGCGTCTCATTAACAGCCTTCCACGTGTCAAATAAAATTCCGAATTAATCTAAATCCTGCTTGATTGGAGATAATTTCCATAAAAATTTCTATTTTCCAACTTTTTTTTTTTTTTTTTGTGTTTGATTGCAAAAGTTTCTCATAGAATTCATTTTGAGAATTGGTTTTCCACCTTTTTTTTGTGTGTGTGTGTGTGTGTTTTTTATTTTTATTTTTGACAATGTGAACAAATTATAAGAACAATTATAAAATGAGATATCCATCAAATTGACAATTTTCATTTAAAACAAAACTAAACGAACACTAAAATATAGATGATTTGTGAATTTTTTTTTTATAATGGATACAAATTCTAGGAATAATTGTAGAAGTTGACATTTCTTTAATTGACAATTTTTATGAAAAATAAAGTTAAACGAACATCAAAATATACTTTTATTTTAATATTTTTCAGGTGAAAAATTATACAAATTAAACACTATTAATTGACAATTTCCAATAAAATAATTTCTAAACAATTCAATTCTTTCGAATTCGTTTTCTTTCCAACCAAATTTTATATTTGCAATCAAATAGATCCTAATTGTTCAAACTTTATTTGGCCATTAATTTCCATTGATTTTAAAAATTGTTTTTGAAATGATTAGTTCAGATACTATCAATACATAACATGTAATCCAAGCACCCGTTTGGCTCTCAGTTTTTTTAAATTTTAATGATTAGAATAATATTTTTTTGAAAAATTTATGATTGAAATAGAATGAAATTTTTTTGATTTGTATATAATATTATTTTATGAAAAATTGTGTGATTGAAAAGAAGAGTGAGAAAAAGATTGAAGAGGAGAACATGGGCCAAATTTATCAATCTAATTCGTATAAATAACATATTCTAAAACTCTGGACCGGTCATGTCGATCTTATCTACATTTAATGTCACGTCATCGCAGATCCCCCGGATCCAATCGCACGGTACAGATTTCATCTTAATATAAACCTGCTCGACTTTTAACGCTCATTTCGTTCTTAAATATCTCTGCTCAGTGCTCTCAATTAGGGAATAACATCGCTACTAGGCAGTGTCAATTGAGCTCTACATGAGCCGAGCTCGCTAAATTGCGCCCATGGGGTTACTTGACCAGCTCTGGGACGACACCGTTGCCGGCCCCCAGCCGGACAGTGGCCTAGGGAAACTCAGAAAACACGCCACCTTTGGCTTCCGGCTTAACTCCGGCAAGGGTACGCCTTTGTTGCCATCTTAAGCCGGTGGTCCACCCTGATCGTAACATGATACCCCTAAGAACTCGTTAAATTCTTCTGTACATAATATTGTGCAATAATCATATATACATTAAGATGAATTTGGATACTTTTAAGATATTCATTACATAAGCTTTTAATTTAGCTGGTTATGTTCTAGATTTTCACCGAGTATTAATGTTTTCCACTCATTAACAGGAAAATGTTTAAAGTTCGGATCGATTAGATTAATATACTTTTGTTATTATCACTTCGAGAAATAGAATTAAGTACGTATAAATTGAGAAGGTAATTATTATAATGGAAATTTATGTATTTGTCAAGAATTTAATTGTGATTGGAATTTATTTTGCTTACGAAAATTTTGATTTAAATTTGCGTTTACTGGATCAGATTCAGAAGCTGCGAATCCAAGATCACTTGGAGATGAAGCGGGTGAGGATGCAGTGAGGGTTACAAGAAGCATTATGATAGTAAAGCCTCAAGGTGTTCAGAAAGGCTCGCCGCCGGTTTCGCCGGCTGCCTCCACATCTCCGGTGTCTCCTTTCGCCGGTTCCGGTTAGCTTCATGAGTTATCATATTTTTTTATATTTTATTCTAATTATGATGTCAAACATTCCAGTATCTTCTTGCAAATTTATTGTTTAAACTGCCCTGGGTAATAATGTGGTCTAGAAGAATCTCAGGGAATCTGAATAGGGTAATTTGGACACACTGTTTTTCGAGAACGGAATAACGATAAGGGTATTTTAGTCCTTTTAGGAAGCTTGTCACAGTAATAAGCGGCAATAATAGAGATGAGATAAGTTTAGGCATGATGGGCCAATTATTTTATTTTTGAATTTTGTCTTAAGAGTGACATTTGTGGAATCTACTAGGATACAGTTGTTAAAATTTAAAATAGCATTATGTCTTTGTCCACTTCCTGAATTCGTGCGTGGCATTGCTTAAAGAGACCCACGAATTGTTAAAACTTGTAATAGAATTATGCCTTTGGCGATAGTTATTATTAAGAGTAATGTCTCTGTCTCCCTTGGTTATAAGTTTAGTGCGTTAACGTGACATTAAATTATATGTGTGTAATCAACTTTGTCCTTTAATTTTATTTTTTATTGAGCCTATCACTTACCACCACATAAATTGTGGGTTATAATCTAGTGGAGCTAAATAATGCGACTCTAGTTTTTATGGTTTGAATCTTCGATACACAATTGTAATGATTTCGTAGTTAATACTGACGAAACATGCCTTTTGCATTAAACATGGAATATTCTGTTCTTCATTGTTTATGACATTAAGCTCCTGTTGGTGTATTTAAGTTGATTAAAATTTTATGAAATTCACATGTTTACTACCACATATTTGATTAACTTGTATCTAAATTTACTAAAAGTTTGATTTTAATCTACACCAAACTGGGGCTAATTTTTTATTATGAATGAGGCTAGGTGCAGGGGGAAGAGAGGCATTTCGGTTTCGTAGGAGGTCTGCATCCTTCGCTTACGAGAAGGCTAGCGAAGTTGGACCCAGGAGCCCTCCCCCTTACGACCTGTGATTAACGATATCGAGGCTTCGATCCTTTTCTCCCTTGAGGCTGCTCTAAATGTTATATTGTTTCTGTTTAAGGATCTTTTGGGAAGCAAAAGAGTATTATGTGTAGTTAGATGTATATACGCGACGTCCATCCACCGCATAGTGTTATTTTGAGTGAGGCTGTTTGAGTTCAAAGACTCGAGAGTTGTAAGGAGTTCACTTCTTGTAAAAGGGTTTCTCCATTGCTTTACAAGTTTAGTTTCTGTTCTCTTTATATCTTATCATGAGTAAGAATTCGATTTCACTTGGGCCTATCGGCGTAGAATAATGCTTGTAGTACATAGAGGTGTCCAAAATGGACACCTGGCGCCTCGGCCAATGCCGAGGTGTCGGTGGGCCTTGGCGTAGCAGCCGCCTCGGCCAATGTCGAGACGCTGGGTGTCCACCCCGTTGGATACCGCAATGTACCCATAGCATGATTGATCGGCGTAATATGTCATTTTGAAACTCTACTGAACTTTGAAGACTCTACTCAGATTGCTAAAGTACAAATAGTCTAGTTTGATAAGAATTAAAAGATTTTTAGTAAATTTTGATAAAAATTGATGAAATGTAAAAAATTATGTATTTTATGAAATACGAGATTGAAATTAATTGTTCACTTTAATTTATGTTAGAATCTGAATTTTAATTTTTATTATCAAACAAGGGATATCATGGTTTGATTCATGGTTGGTTTCCCAACTTTTGTCTTGGACAAAAATAGACTGATGGTCGTGTAACACTTAGCCCTGTTTGGCCTCAATTTTGTGGAAATAAAAATGGGTGGAATAGTATTTTTTTGAAAAATGAGTAGTTGAAAATGAAAGAAAAGTTTCGATTTACGTGTAATATTATTTTATGAAAAATTATGAAGTTGAAAATATGAGAGAAAAATGAAATGTAATGGAATGGAAATTAATGGGGCCAAACGAGGGCTCAAGCTGCTTAAGGATTGTTTCTCACTCGGGATCTAATTGAATAAGTTATCCTTCCATACTACGTTGAAAAATTAATGGCACTTTTAAGAAGACTAAGAGTGCATTTTATTATCAATATTTTTCATACAAATGTTATTTTTCTATCCAAATTTTTATTTTTGGGCGGTTTGATTTATTTTTTTCATAGAAAATATTTTCCTACTTTTTGATATGATTCAGGATGCGTCGCCGATTATCGAAGAAGTGATGATTAATTGGAAGAAACCAAAGCCATGTTCAAAACCTCGAGGAGCTAATGAAAGTCACACAATTGCTTGGTTGAGCTATGGAGAACAAAAGATTGAAGAGAACCTGCCAAAATCCACGTAAATCAAAAATATTTTCTTAATTTTCGACCAAACTTTCTCCATTGTCTACTATTCCAAAATGCATTTTTTTCATAAAATTGAGTCCAAACACCCTCTAAATATGCCACGAATGGGTGATTTGATCTCCTTCCCAAGTTTTACCTCTTGCAGGTTGGATTTGGAGTGGGGACGCTCTATTGCACGAAAACCATTTATGTCAATGAATTTATTGAAAATAAAGTGCATAGATTTTCTGTACAAGATTAAGCTCCTATTTGAGCTTCATCTTCTTAAAAAAAAAAAAAAATTTATTTTCAACTACTCATTATCCTAATAAAATATTTTGGGTAATTAGCACAAAACATCCCTACCTTTCGATGTTTTTGTGGAAAACATCCCTACCTTTTTTTTTAGCATAATTAGCACAAAAGGTCCATACATTTCAATGTTATTGTGCAAAACGTCCATATCTTTCATTTTTAGCATTTTCACCCCTACATTTCACCTTTCATTGTGCAAAAAGATCATTTTCATCCATTTTTTCAATAAAATGACGATTTTACCCTCCTATTGAAATAAAACAAAAAGAAAAGAAAAAAATAATTAATTAATTGCAATCATAGTTCTAAATCTTTCAAAACATTACAGATAAATCCTAAATTCTCCACTACCGCCACTTTCACAACCCCACCAAGCCATCACCTATAGATCTATATAGCACCACTTTTCGACCATAACACCTATCGGACTCCACCACCACCAGTGTCGCCTCACTCTCCCCAATATCCTCCTCCATAGTATTGATCACCAATCTGTCCGAAACAACCATATTTACGGTGGTGGAGTCCGTTGGGCATGGTGGCCGAAAGGTGGTATTATGTGGATTTATAGTTGGCAGCTTGATAGGTTGTGAAAATGGTGGTGGTTGAGAATTTATGATTTATCTGTAATGTTTTGAAAGATTTAGAACTATGATTGCAATTAATTAATTATTTTTTTTCTTTTCTTTTTGTTTTATTTCAATAGGAGGGTAAAATCGTCATTTTATTGAAAAAATAGATGAAAATGACTTTTTGCGCAATGAAAGGTGAAATGTAGGTGTAAAAATGCTAAAAATGAAAGGTAGGGACGTTTTGCACAGTAATATTGAAAGGTAGGGACCTTTTCTGCTAATTATGCTAAAAAATAAAAGGTAGGGACGTTTTGCACAATAACTTTGAAAGGTAGGGACCTTTTGTGCTAATTACCTTTTTGATTTAACGGAGCATTTTAACGGAGAGTTGACAGAAGGACGTTTTGCACAAAAAAAGGTAAAGGTAAGGGTGTAATCCGCCAAAAAATGAAAGGTAAGGACGTTTTCCACAAAAACATCTAAAGGTAGGGATGTTTTGTGCTAATTACCCAAATATTTTTATACATAACTTTTTTTCTTATTTTTTAACTATTCATTTTTCAAAAAAAAAAATCACTATTACAAAAATCCTTTTCTTTCCCCCCGTAAAAATGGAAATCAAACATCTAAGATTTTGACTAGTATGTAAAAACAATGTCCAACTATAAGCCATATCTAACTTAACCTACATTCAAAGTTGACGTTGACATCAAGATCAAGTGTCACCCTATTTATTATTATTATTAATTTTAATTGCATGCTAAGTTAAAAAGAAAGTGTAAAGTTTGCTTCTTCTTTTTTTCTCTGTAAATGTAATTTTTAGCTTATTTTTCAACTTTAACCAATAAAATAATTTATTTATTCAATAAGTGAATTTGCTCATAAGCAAACCTTTTAAGCTGAATTGATCAAAATGCTCTTAAAAATTAAAAATCTTACATACTATACTATCCACTATTACATATCAAATATGTTTTAATGTTTTTAATAAGTCGATAAGATATTTTAGTCCATTATAAATAAATGACATCGTCTTGACCACGATAGAGCTTTTTTGCCCTTCACATAATAGAGGGACTAAAGTGCAATGTCAATAATTATAAATATAACATAGTATATTACAAGATATAAGTGGGATTCAAGACAAAAATTAGTTGGGATGCATAATTCAAACCTTTTATGGACATTGGGGCCCAGAGAGCCCATCGATTTTATACATCAAACTTGATGATAAGTAATTATTGAAAGCCACGTTAAGCCCATGTTTGATGGTCGTAATTGAAGGATAAAATAATGTTTTAAATAGTGTTGTTTTAGAGAATGCGTGATTAAGAAGTAGGGAACATGTACAAAATATTTTATTAAGTGAATGTATAATTAAAAATGAGTATGAGAATTAAAGAACTTTGTTTTAAAAAGAGACAAGCATGAACTAATTGTGGGAGATTGGGTCATGCTTTGGACATGCCAAGGAGGCTTGTTGATCAAGACTTTGGGTTCATTAGTCCCCAAATAGATTTATCGAAGTCTTAATGTGTAAGCAAGAGGATCAACTTGTCTAACTTTATCATTGCTTAAACTCATATTTTAAATTTCATTCTCTCTTCAAATTTATTTAAATATCATATTTTTTGAGATTTATAATTTTATCAATTTTTTAATCATACATTTCATCAATTTTTATTAAAATTTAATTTTTAACAAAACCAACAGAAACCTTATGAAGTTTCTATTTTTGTTTTGTTTTGTCCAAATTTAAATAGATGATACTATAGATTGACTTATTTTAAAAGATTGACTTATTTCAAAAGGCGGGTCGTACTCGACTCAGCTTCCTAGAATTGTGATTTATATAAATTAAGTGGAAATTACACCTTTCCAGGTGTTTAAAGATTGGGATGTAAACATCATGTGGGGAAGTTTTTTATGCACATGTCAAGCTTTTATATAAATATTAAATGTGAAATATTTATTTTTTATCATTTAATAATTAGTCGATGTGTATATTAACTGATGGTGAGTTTTCTTATTATCGTAATTCAAATTACAATTTTCTTAACTACCATATCAATCATCTCCTCTCTTTCTCTCTCTCTCTCTCTCTGTGCCCCCCACGATTTCACGTAATCTCCAAACCCTCTCTTTGTTCTCCCACGATTTCCCGTCCCCTCCAAACACTCGCTCGTTCGAACTCATCCACCCAAAGTCTAGATATCACCATTTAGTTACCCTACAATCTTATCATTGTTGAATTCAATTTGTGCAAGAATCATCGTGTTGAGTACATCCCTTTCGTTACCCTAAAAAACGAAATCTAATGGAGAAATCGAAGGGTGTAGGAGGGGTTATTAATCTTAAAGACACAAGAAGAAGAAGAAGCAAAATGAGGTCATAGGACAGCATAATGGAAACCCCAACGCATTCGTGTCTGTGATTGAGCGAAAAGGCCAATCGAACAAGGTTATTTCCTCAATTTTTATTTTATTTTTATTTTTTTTAATCCAACAATGAAAAAACATACTGGATATTTGGGCATTCTATGAAATGTAGGCGGTTGAAGTAAATTCGGTATTGGGCATGACCTAGGGTTTTGGGTGTGAAGAGTATGTGTATGGAAACTCCTTTGTGCTTATAATTAGATGTCTAATATGTTGCGTGATCTTAGAGGATGATATGTGACCCAAGCTCAGTGCAAGTGACCATGGTAGATGATCTGTGACCTGAGCTCAGTGTATGTGACTTGGAGGTGCTAATAATGAATTGATCTAATCTGTGATCTATTCATTTCATTGAAAACTAATACACATATCTGTGAACTGCTATGATGTGATACAAATCAAAATGTTGGTTTTATTACAAGACTTCCAATTATTGGTTTGTTAGTGACAATGCGGCATGTGTATGAGATTGTATTTGTGCTTTTAATTTTGATGTCTTATAAGTTGGATGGTGTCACAGGTATTAACAATATGACCAGACTCGAATGTATGTGAATTGGAAGTACTAACAGTGAATAGATATGTGATCTGAGCTGACTGAAAATGTGACTTGAGTGTTCTAATAATGAAGATTTGTGACCCTATTCAA